GTTTTGATCAGGGACTCCTCGACTGTAACACAGTTGCATCAGTCTGTTATTTTATTCATCATCATCATCCACAACTTGAGTTCATCTATTGCTGGGTATAGGCCTCCCGAAGTTTGTGCAATGCACCACGGTCCTAAATACAAAATTCTCGCAGCGAGCCGGTAATCGCTTACAACTTTGGCATCAGTAAGCTATACAAGAAACTGCGATACCTTTGACGTCGTCTCTCTTTTTTTTTGTTAATCCGGGGGAATCTGCTTACAGATACCCCGGCCCCGCGGGGGCAGAGCCGGGGTTATGTGGGACTGGGCTTAACCCTGAAGGGAAGCAGCCCGACCGCACTAAACCCCCGGAGTGTTCCTCCTCTCCGCTGTAGGTACGGGTACGGGTACTGTTGCACTCGTCCGCGCCCCCACCAGCGGCTGGTCGCGCCCTGCGTAGCCCCTCCTCGAGAAGGGAGGCACCTCGGTCCCCCGACTCCGAATGTGAAGCCTCACATTCGGCGAGCCCGCCGAACACCAGACGAGCCTTCCATCCCGGGCCCCTTTATGCTGGGCAGCGAACTCCCCCGAGTCCGCTACCCAGGGGCCAGGACAGCATCCACTCAACTGTGAAGTTCAGTGGCTGCTCCCCCAGCCCCCGCGGCGGATCTGATGACAGGCTCCGCCGCAACACCTAACGCGCTTCCGCGAGGACTCTCCGAAGAGAGTCCCTTGGAGCGCCCACCACGGGCCAACCGCCCACGTTCGGCCGCGGAGGACAGGACGAGCGGCAACGACACACCGACATGTCTCTTCCCCCGCGGCCCCGCCGCCACTGCATCGTCGAAAGCGGTGCAACCCCGCCAGAGTCGCGGAGGACAGGACCAGTGGCAACGACACACCGACACGTCTCTCCCCCCGCGACCCTCCTCCCAACGCGCATCCGCGCGGTCCCGCTGACCAGACGAGCCCCGCGCGGAACGCCCTCCTCTTCGGGCCAGCCTACCACCATCGGCCGGCCCCGTGGGTTCCTCTTAGCTTCACCGTGGGATGAAATCGACCACGGCTACTAGAGCCCCCCGCCACGACAAGGCGGGAACGTAAGAAACGTAAGAACGGGAATAGTAAGAAATGATTAAAACGAAGGACGTACGCAGCTACGTGTATCGGACTTTACTTTTGGGAGTAGACGCCCTGTGCTAGCCGCATCCATTGACGCCCGCGACGCGGACTATGTCGTCGACCCACCTTGCAACTGGGCACCCTACACTTCCATCCATGTTGTCCATCTTCGGGCACCAATCAGTTGACGTCTTGCCCCACCTGTCATCATCTCGCCTTGCTATGTGTCCCGCCCAACCGCATTTGAGTTCCATGATCCGAGTTCCATCATCCTGGACTTTCGTTCGTCGTCGGATCTCAACGTTAGGAACTCGGTCTACAAGGCTGATGCGGAGCATGGCGCGCACAATGGTCCTCTGTGCAATTCTCGACCTGTATACAGACTTATGTATACAAGTCTGTATACTGTATAGTATGCGTGAGCGTCCATGTCTCGGAACCATCCGCCATGGTTACAAGACATGGACGCTCACGCATGTAACTGTATCGCAGTGACGTGGTCATTATTTTATTACTTCCTTTTAAATAAAAAAAAAGTATAATATGAATATACCGCCCTTTTTACATTATACTTTATTTACAAGCTAAGAGAATAATATGGTTATTTTAATACTTTTGAAAAATTGGTAACACGTCGTTTTTGTAGTTCTCCTTGTGAATGAGTCAGGGGAAGCACTGCCACCTGACCTATTTCTATTGCCAAGCATTAATGTGAGCATTGCTGCGTTCCGGTTTCTCTCTACATATTTTTGTATGAAAATAAAATATGATATATTGTTTATAATGTTAGTAACATAGTCCTGAGAGGTTGTTAGCATTTTAAAAATAATCCTGTACAGTATTTTTTAAGAAATTAATGTAAAAAACTCAATTGCGTTATTAGACAAAAGTTAAACCTGAAAGTAGGTCATTGCAAAGGAGTTGACATTTTAAGCGCGAGTCACTGGCGAGGGTTTAAGCCTCACGAGTCTGCACGACCTGGCGTTTTAATTCCTCTTTTTAAAATATAATATCATTGTTTTGATTTCATAAAACCGGGTAGGCTTTCTGAAACTAAAAGGATATTACAAAGCTTTGTCGTCTGTCTTTCTTTTTAAATATGCATTAATTTCAGGTGATTTTGCGGATATTATGGAATTAACACCGCTTGACCATTTCTAGTGAAGCCTGAAAAAGTTCGTCCACTACCACTACCATTCCTATTAATGCCGCCAAGCAATAACGTGAGCATTAATGCGCATCGGTTTTGTAGGAAAATAGTACAAGTAAAACTTCAGGCACTTGGAACATGTCAACTTATGTCTCGGCTTGATGGGCGCACCCGCAATGCTCCTCAGATCTTTGCAATTTAAGATGTAAATCCTTAGTTTCCAAAGTGGTCCATCCAGGTGGACCCCCAGGGGTCCGCGGGAGACTCGACGGGGGTCTACGTTGGCGTGACAAAAAGATAGGGGTTCACAATTCGTAAGCGGAGGTCCACGAAAATTTATATGCTTTCGATAGTGAAGAACTAAAATGTTGGCTTGACTTCACCTATCAATTGCAGGCAGATAATATTTTAAGAAGCTCAGCGATTGTTACTTGTTAAAACTTGCGTATTCCATATTCAGTACAACGTGTCTTTACTTTTTTGACACCCACTCACAGCATCGATTAAATTCTCACTTTTTTTCGAAAACTATTAATTTGTGGTTAGAACACAGCAATTTGCGTTGCAAATTTCCACAGTTAGATCTAATCTTCACATTTTTTGTCGAGTTTTGGGAATATGGTAGAAACGTAGCTGCAGGGGGTCCACCGGGGCCAGCTAAATTTTGAAAGTAGTCTATGAGAAAAATGTCTGGGAACCTCTGGTCTAAATGAAAAGTTCGTCCAGTACCACCACCATACCTATTAATGTCGCGAAGCAATAATGTGAGATTAATGCGTACCGGTTGTCAACATTATGTTTCAGGTTGATGGGCACAGCTGCAATGCCCCTCAGATCTTTGCGATAAAGATTTAAGTGAAATAGTACGTCCAGTATCGCCACCATGTCTATTACTGCCGCCAAGCAATAACGTGAGTTGCAACGTGAGCATTACTGCTCACCAGTTTTGTATGGTAAGAGTGCACTTTTGAGTGAAATTTTAGACACATGGAACTTGTCAATTTTATGTCACAGGTTGATGGAGCCGCAGTTCCCATTTGACCTCCCCCGTTTATAGGTCTGAGTGGCACTGCAACTGTTATGAATAGGCGTGTTGCTTACCAACAGGCTCACGACTTGTTCGTCTCTTCATTTGATAATCATAAATAAACAGTATGGAAAACACAAAATGTTTGGAAAAATACTAATAATAATACTAGCGTACAAGATGTGGCGTTTCATACTCAGGCCGTGTTTCACTTGTGTGCGTTGAAAACGCTGCACATCATTTAGTCGGATGTCAAACTTTCAAGATGGCGGACGCAAATGCGATCCTCTTTGAAAAGAAATTTTCATGGTTGTATTCATTGACTTACAATTATATGGACGTCGGGTCCGCGCTAAAAAGTGTCCGCACTTGTAAGGCGCTAAAATCGTATACAGAGCGCCAAACTCCGCTTTAGTCTTCATTTGTTCGACTGACAGCGCGATACTGCGATGACATTACAATTTAAATTTCGAATAGGTTGACTTGGGACATTTTTTTCGTGGTTTTTGTATTAGACCCGTCGTCCATTTATTTGTAAGTCAATGGTTGTATTGCTCACTATTTGGACTAATTGTGTGAACATAAATTTAAATATTCAAATTATACATAAACACTATCACTATTGACAGTGTTTTGTTTGGGACTGTTTGGAACATGCAGTTGCTGTGAAATGTCTTGTCATTTATGTGGTCTGTGGTCTTGTCTATAGACTGAAGTCGTTGGGAAAAATATTCAAAGTTGCTCGTGTGTCAAGGTTAAGACAATTTTCCATCATCTAAGAGACAACCCACAGTTGTCACGTCAATTTGTGACTACGATACTTAGAGGATGGAAAGAATAAAGGATAGGAGCTGCTCTATCTACGAAATAAACGTACCTACCTAAACCAAAGTTGTACCACACATATGGCCGATTTAGTGTTGTACTATAATCATAGATAAGTCATTATTTCCTCTTTTTGTTAAGCCTTTTGTTGTAGAAAAATGATGTTGTAGTTCTAAAAGTTGATTATTTTTATACTTTGATATCGATAATTATAATGTGATTGACTGGTTTTGTAGCAATTCGGTACAATTTTATCATTCAAATTTTCGATTGCGGCACTGGGGTCCAGCGCTCGAGTAGTTAATTGCCTTTACGCTACACGCTACTAGATGGAGCTAGGACGTCATGCGTAGAAGTCCTGTTGAAATGATTTTTTTATTTTTATTATCGGTTCACAAAACTACATACAAATTATCACCTTATAACATTATAAGGTGAGAGGATGGTAATCTAATTTGTTTGGTCTGTGAACACAACATTTCGTATTTAAAACAAAAGAAAATTCTTAAAATTTACATCTATATACTATTTATTAAAAAAACCACACAATAAGACCTTAGAGGATGGAAAACTAATAGTCTAAGATTCAAACCCAACACATATGACATTTTCTTATTGAGTACCTAGCTGAGACCACAGAACCAGAAAATATGTCAAAATCAATAGCATTATAAGAAGAGCATAGTATAGGAAGATTATATTTTGTTATTCTTATTCAAAACTGAGCAAGCTGTTCGGAAAAAAAATTAAAAGACTTTGTGATTGTAAATAAAGTATATGAGAAAAAAAAGTTAGTCTGTGGTGTTGGTATGGGGTGTGAGGAGCATGCGCGACGCGGGGTGCGGGGTCGGAGCGTGAGCCCTGACACGGAGTGATATCGGCGCGGCAGAGGGCCACCACGCTTGCTCGCGGAGGCATCGATCGCCCCACTCGCGCTCGCCAATTCGCGACCCGCTCCCTCAGCCGAGCGCGCCAACATGCAGCCTCCACCTAGAAAGGTAAGCGGCCACCTTAGTGGAACCCTGCCTCGAAAACTCAATACCAACATCAGACTATATTAGGGCGATAGCATCGAAAATCACAACACATGCTTCTTTCAATTCGATCGCGCTCAATGAATGAACACCATGTTTCCTTCTTGTCTTGTGGTTGCGTCTATTTACTGAATTACATAACGATAGACATGCTTATTTTAACGTTTCGTAAGTCAACACACCATCTAAATAATGTTTAAAAAACTTTTATAAGCATTGGTAATGTGACCCATTGGCACTGTTTGTGGTCATACTTGACGGGTGTAATGTAATGATTAGGAAGCATAGCCTGACCTGGTTTAATCAATAGAAACGGTGATGTTTACTTTTGATTTGAAGATGCACATTTTGGATTTAATTTAAACTAGGAACACATTCAGTGAAAAGAAAATAAAAATTCAATCGCAGTCGGTCAAATTAATAATACCTTTATAATAGTATTAAAAGATGACAAAGCGTCTTGGTGGTTTCGGTTGTATCTCGCTACGGATTTCGTAGCAGCTTAGCAAGCTTTTGGCATTCCACTCGAAAAACTTTGAGTTTAGTCTAATTTTTTACTGTACGAATACAATATCTACAATAGATAAATATTTAATTTTAATTCTATTCAATACCGTAATTAATAGTTATGATCCATTTCATTATTTTTGTATCTTTTACGCCTAGGTATCATTCCTAATAGTATACAATCCTACAAAACTAATTAATGGACGTAAATATTAGGGGTTAAAGTATGAAATTGCCGTTTTATTGCAATAGGTTCTTTGAATTTTCATAGAATCTTCATGGTTTGAGGTTTTCGAATGAAACTTTTTTCAAATGGTTTCTGTGATTTTTTTTTTTAAATTTTAAACATTTGAATATCGACTTCCAATTGTTTTTGTTATTCAATTTAGACAAGAAAGATGGATACTGCGAAAATTCGAGTGATTTTTGAATACGAGTTCCGACGCGGAACTAACGCGGCAGAAACAGCCCGCAATATCAATGCTGCGTTTGGAGAGGGGTCTACTAATGAACGGACCGTGCGATTTTGGTTTAAACGCTTTCGTGATGGAAATTTCGACTTAAAGAACGAGCCACGAGGGAGACCGCCCACACAGGTGAATAACGATGAATTAAGAGAGATAGTGGAAGCCGATCCTAGTCAAACTACCCAGGAATTAGCGGCATGGTTTAACGTTACCTTACCCACAATATTGACTCACTTGCGTCAAATCAATAAAATAAAAAAATACGAAAAATGGGTGCCTCATGTTTTGACTGATCTGCAGAAAGAAACGCGTGTTGAAACTTGTGTTGCCTTGTTGAACCGGTACAGAAATGAAGGAATATTGGATCGTATTATAACATGTGATGAAAAGTGGATTCTTTATGATAACCGGAAAAGAAAAATGCAATGGCTGACCCCAGGTCAAATGCCACAACAGTGTCATAAGGCAAAACTTACCAATAAAAAGGTAACGGTAACTGTTTGGTGGTCTCAGCATGGTGTTATTCACTATAGTTTTCTCCGATCTGGTCAAGCAATAACGGCAGATGTCTATTGTGCCGAACTCCGAACCATGTTGACAAAACTAGCAGTAAAACAGCCCCGACTCATGAATCGATCTTCACCATTATTCCATTATTCCACGACAACGCGAGACCTCACACAGCACGAGAAACCATTTTGACCCTTCAGGAACTGCAGTTAGAAACCATTCGTCATCCTCCGTATTCACCAGACCTTGCTCCAACGGACTACCATTTTTACAAGAAGTTTTCTTCCCAGGAGGCAGTACAAAATGCTTTCACACAGTTTGTGCAGTCTAGATCGTCGGAGTTCTATCGCAAAGGCATTAATAACCTTCCCATTAGATGGCAGCAATGTATAGATAATAATGGCAACTATTTTGATTAAATAAATTTGTTAAAAATTTAAAAAATAAACAATTTAGATTTTCAGTACAAATCGGCAATTTCATACTTTAACCCCTATTATTATGTTATTATCTATTTATATACTATTACTGTGTTTATTTGAAATGCCTCTCAAATATTCTTTGGTTGCGCCCCCCCTTTTGCTAAATTAACCTTAAGGAAGACTGCTCAGCAATATTCTATGCTTTTTAGCAATAAAGCGCTTGCTCTGTTTCGGAACGAAAGCACAAGTAACCTTTTTCTCAAAATTGGATGATGAAAATAGAGCTCTTTGTTTTTTTACTATCATTGTTTTATTCACGAGTAAAAATGTTTACAAAAAAGAAACAAAACACAGTGATTAAAAACCATAAAAATATTTATGTATCGCTGCCATCACATGCTGTCAGGCGTCTTAGTATAAAACAATTACGCGCAAATTACGCTGCTTCAGATGGTTTTCCACCGGCGAGACGAGACGAGGAGAGACGAGAATTGAAATATCGCCAGCCTATTTCCACCAAAACTTGCCATTAGTAGCTCGTGCGAGCTCCGGGCTGCGATTGTGGATAGTGAAGATTTACTGGAGTAACATGCCTCGTAAATTATTATTATATAGTTAACGGAAGAAAAATCAGATGAAATCGTCGTTTTTTAAATCTCAAATCGTACGTTGGCTTCGTACGATTTGACAATCTCGCTATTGATATTAATAGCCATAGCGAACTCGCGCGATCTCGCGAGCGAGAAATTATGTTAATCGTTAAAGAGTATAATACTCTACGTAGGCAGCAATACGGTTAAATATTACAACAAATATTTTAATTCTCGCCTCGTCCATCCTCGTCAATTCAGACCATTTTCACTGAAGATGGGCTAGGAGACAATTGAAATTTTGTCATACAATTTTCAATCCTCGTCCCGCCTCGCCTCGCCGATGGAAAACCACCTTTACACTTAAAACTATTAAACACAGTTTGACAACTGCACATTGATTTGTTTTATATTTTTTGGCTTACCTAGTAAGTTTATCGAGAATGTCGCTTGTGAAAGAGTTCGTCTATGGAAATACTGCCACCTTACCTATTTCTGAGACTTAGTCCGGTCCTTATGGGGGGGTAATCGTATCAATTACGTGTGTGAAACGTGCACGTCGAAGAACGTTCACTACCGTTGGAAAACGTGTGAAGTCTGGCCTAAAACCCTGGCCCGAGTGAAGACTCGCAGTAGGACGTGTAAATAGGTTGATGATGCTGATGATGATGAAGATGATGAACGTCAATGTGTTTTAGATCTATAGTTCGCTCGGTTCTGTTTTTCTGTTTAGTTAGTTTCTTAAAACACAATCTTAATTTACCTACTTTACTTTCAACTTGATTTCCCCCTTCTCCATAACAACAGTCATGATTTTATACCAATTCCGTGATCTGATCTGCCTTAAAATCCTTACACGTATAGCCCAGTAACAATAGAATAAATCTCCATAAACGTTACACTTTTTTTAAAAGTTAGGGCGCTCCCTTTATGTCGTAACGTTATATTTACCGTTGGATGACTGTCGCGTGTAGCCTGTTTTCGTATCACGACTATCTGTCGTGACTGAGTCGTGGACATTTATTTTATCGTAAATCGATCTGCCTAGCGTGTCTAGCTGTTGCCACTATCAATCACTAGCAATCGCCTTGTCGTTTGCACGACAGAATCGGTTGAAGCTGCGATTATCTGACGTCACATTTTTATCGTGACGTTTTATTTATCGCTGGACGACTGCCGTTTTAGCTCTTCCCATTGTCACGACAGTCTGTCGTCGTAACGTCAAAATAGTCGTGAACTTCATTTAAATATACGAGTCACGATACTTTAAATTGCACCACTATCTGTCGTCACGACGTAATGGGAACACGCCTTTAATGTTTGTCAACACGGAATGTTTTATCAAATTATTTTGTGGCTTCATGTAAAATCTCCTACTAAAATCGAATATGAATTTCATACAACTTACTGTACAAATCAATTCCGATTAGATCAATTCCGATTTTAAAAATATCGCTTTTTCACATTGATCGAACTATGACAGACGTTTCGAAACGAACTTGAAAATACTTTGAAACAAATTTGCATTTATTTCGAAGAGTATTTTCAAGTTTCAGTAATAGGGACAAGAAATTCGATCCCTTTGAAATTATAACTTGTAACTTAGGAACTTTTTATAACATCGAATTTAAACGGTAGAATTACTCTCAAATACTTCTGTAAACTTTCATGAATGTCCTTATAGCTGTTTCAGAGTCCGCTCTGTACACACTTCCAGACAGAAAGTTAGTCGTTGTGGAAGTAGCATGTCCGCTTAGATACTGTTATTAATTCTGACATCACCTATAAACTTGAATTTCATTTTTATTATGTTAAATAAAATATCTACGTTTTTCTTTATTAGTCAGACATATCTGTCAAATCGGTCACAACAACTGATATTATCCGCTACAGAAAATAACAACCCACTGTTTTTTTAGTTGTCCTTCGTAAATGTTTTCTTTTGTACTAAGTTAAGTAAGACACGTCGGCTTGTAGAAGTTGCATTAGTTGTAAATCACAAAGATCTGTGGGACACTGCTATTGTGCCTGTCGCCCCGAGACATAAGTTGAAAATTCCCATGCCTGCAATTTCGCCAGTAAGTTTACCCTTAAAAACCTCTAAGCACTAATACTCACATTACTGCTTGGCGGCAGTAATAGATAAGGTGGCAGTATTTCCAAGGACGATCTCTTTCACATCCTTGTGAAAGCTCTACTGCTTCAAAAACATTTTGCCACTACGTTGTTACTCGTCGTCAGCTGGACCTCTAGAGAAAATCGCTCTCTTATCGTCTATTACCAATCATAATTGATACGAACTAAGCAAACCTCTGTCGCGGATGTGCCGCCCATAAGTCTGAAACATAGGATGTTCAGTAACATGGCCTCGTGCCAGCGCCCGCGCCAGAATCTGTTCCCGTGCCCGCGTATCGAATAGGCGACGTGTCGTCGTCGTTGTGAAATGAGTTTCAAAAAATTGCGTCTTT